GGAAAGTCCTGCGTCTCAACTTCGCCTGCGCCGGAAAAACGGGGAAAGTCAGCGTGTGTGCGCTTGGAGGGTGTGCGAGCTCCTGCGCGCGTCTCCCTTCGCCCCTCGTCTGTGGGTTCAGGAGGCCCAGGCGCTCCGCCCAAAGCGGGGCAACGAGACTGGGAGCCACCGCGAGTGATCAGGTGCCCGAGCGCCGCATTCTTGCCGCAATCGCACAGCTAATTTAGTCGTTCCCAGTGGGCGGGGTTGTGTGACTTCACAGCCAGGACTTGCTCGTGAGAGGCCCCAGAAGATGCTCTGGGGCAATCGTCTCAGCCGCTTGATGAAGGTCTCTAGACTGGCTCAGGGCAACTGCGAGGCTATGACTTTTATTAATAGTGATAGCGATCGATCGTTTGAGAACTTCAAACACTGGCACCGGTATAGGTGTTTCACCCTATTAGAAGGTTCCATGGAGCACGGCATGGAAAGAGACCAGGCAGAGAAAAGTGAACTCAGTCCCAGCACCAGGTTCAAGGGGGATAAGGCTGGCAGAGATATTGGGCCACATTTTAGAGGTCAGAGGAACTAACTCTGAAGATAAGGGTCTTGGTTTGAGACAGCATTTCCTCATTCCCAAGACCTACAGGGCTGAAGTACTTACTCTTCAAGGTCTAGAAGATAAAATACAGCCAATGAAGAGCAGCCGGTTCCTGGAGTTGCTCTTTACTAAATGCCTGCCCATGGTTTCATGATTTCTTCTCTCCCTTCCTGGAGGGCAATATGGGGTGGTAGAATCAGTGTTCTGTATGGGAGGGAGGGAGGCAGAGAGAGAGACAGAGAACGCATGAGGGTGCCTACAGGTGTCTTTGTTTTTCAGGAGGGGTCTAGGCATTCAGTGGTTCATAGAGGAACAGAACCAGAAGTAGCTGATTCTCTCTCTCTCTCTCTCTCTCTCTCTCTCTCTCTCTCTCTCTCTCTCTCTCTCTGTGTGTGTGTGTGTGTGTGTGTGTGTGTAACCATGAGGATGGATGGAGTCTTTAAAGATTCCAGGCACTGAGCCGGGTGTTGGTGGCGCATGCCTTTAATCCTAGCACTCCGGAGGCAGAGGAATTCGGATCTCTGTGAGTTCGAGGCCAGCCTGGTCTCCAGAGCGACTGCCAGGATAGGCTCCAAAGCTACACAGAGAAACCCTGTCTCAAAATAACAAAAAACAAAAGATTCCAGGCACTGGTTGGGCAGACAAAACAAGTGACTAGTTGCTCCTTTATGATAACTCACATTGTTCTGGGGGATCTACACTTATTAACATTGTGGTAATCTAAGTTTGGTTCCCAGAATCTACACCAGCAGCTCACAACCGTGTATAACTTCAGTTCTTGGGGATCCAACAACCTCTTATAGCTTCCACAGGTACCAGACACACATCTGGTGCACTAACATACATGCAGTTAAAACACCCACACAGATAAAGCTAAAAACAAGACATCAGTCAGGAAAGAAGCCACTTGGGTTTGGTGACTCCATAGAACTGTCAGTGGGCTCTGAACTGCAACCCACGTGGCTACCGGTTATTTTATTTCATCATCTCATTTTTTGGGAGACCTGACAACTGACAAATGATTTGGTCCATTTGCTTTGCCTCCAAAGCCAAGACTGAACATATTTCAGTTGGTCAGAAGCAGGAGCACTCCTGGAATATTTTGTGAAGTGACGGTGCCTTCCCCATCATCCCTAGAGAACAGTGGTATGCCACTCACCTGACTTGCCTGATTCAGAAAGAAGTAGGCTGGAGTTTTCTTTGGAAACATCAGCAGCAAGTTTGGTTGGCAATTGGGCAAGTAATGGCTGAGCCTTCCCTAGATAGGTGTGCTCTTCTAGATGTGATGAGCACTACCATCAAACATCTCGTCACGTGTTTGTGGAAAGGCAGAAGTGGGGACCTAGCCAGATATACCCATTAGCTCTGTCTCTGTCTTGCACCATTGATGCCTATTAAAAATTACTTTTAATTATGTGTATGTGGGGTGTGCAGACAGGCATGGGTGTTTGTGGAGGAGAGTGGCATTAGATTCCTTGAGGATAGAGTTAGAGGGAGTTGTGAGTGCTGAAAATCGAACTCAAGGCCTCTGGAAGAACAATGTGCATTCTTAATCCTTCAACCATTTCTCCAGCCCAGTGTAGACTTCACTGTGCTGAACACTTGTATTAATGTCCAGTGAGGTCACTGCTGGGCAGGTCACCACAAACGTCCCACACCAGCCAATCTGTACCAGATGGTGGAAGGATTTTTTTGCTTATTCATTCTAACGCTCAGGTGACAGTTTTGGTGAGTGCCTCTTTGACTAGCCAAGTCCCTAGCCTGGTCACTTGATTGGCACCTCATTGTCTGCCATTTTTGGTAACCTGATCTCCTAATCAGTCTTTTGTGTAAGGTTATATACATGTACAATTAAATATGTGTATGTATGTGTGTATACAGTTATTCCCCACTCTATAGAGTTCTTAAGTGTGTGCTGGACTGGAATCTGTGAGTGCTATTGCTTGTGTCGGTGTTCTCTTCTAACCCCTCCACCTTTCCTAGCACCCTCCTCCCTTGTTGCATTGGAAACACACATTTTGTCTTCAAAATAAAAATTTATTCAATCTGTAACAAGAACATTGAATCTGCACATCTGCGCACAAGTTCACATTTAAAAACAGCGGAGCACATCAGTAATAATAAAAACAACTATGATACAAGTGGGACATCCCAACCACCAGGAAGATAAGGAAGGAGATGAGACCACTCTATATTCTGCTTTAAATGCCTCAGAAAGATCCCAGAGATTCCAGGGAGCACCTGCTTTTATTTAATAAAACGAGAGCATAGAAGTTTGGGGTAGCCTGGGCAAAGGTAACAGTCAGTGCGAGTCTTTTGGACTTGTTTGTGTTTTGAACAAGTCTTACAAAACAAAATTAAAAAAAGGGAGGGGGGAAGGCACCTTTAGCTATGCCAAACAAATCACAATCAAATAAAAGATAAAACCAAACAATTCCCAGTGGGTTTACTGACTAGGAAACATTAGGTCAGTTCCTCGTTTTTTTCCATTTGGGGTATCAGCTCTCTGTAGGCAGGACACGGCCACCAGCATCGCTGTGGAGACAGATGGCAGCACCAGCCGTATGCCTCTGGGGGGGGGTATCTTCAAGCTGATAAGGGATGATTCCAGTTTAGAAACCCCATCCTAGATCTCTGGGACACTGAGATGAGGCTGGTTCTCTTCATAGCAGAAGCCAGGCCTAGTTACTTCTGCTTCAAGCTGGAGCAGTACAGAAGCACCTTGCAATAGCTCTCCATGGCATCAAGAAATCCTAAAGCCTGGGGAAAGGAGTGTGCAGCTTCCTGCTTTGGTGGCAGGCCTCTTCCTAATATGGGTGCCAGATGAGTCGAGGCAACATGCACACTTATGTCCAGTACATGCTTGATCTTTTAGTTTGGAAGGATAACAATGTCCATGATACTTTAAGTTGGATTGGTACTGAAACAATGAAAATATCACCTTGTCTACCATCAGAAATTGAAAATAAAACCACCATACTAGCCATTCACCATCACGACCATCACTATGGAGACACACCAGCACTGAGGAAAATGACTGCAGGATGAGAGTGCAGGACACAGATGGAGATCAGCCACATCTGACCCATTTATCCACAGGGGTTGACAATAATATGGCATTTCTCTGGGGGAAGGACTCACAGGACAGCCATGGCTTCAGTGCCTGGGTGGCCACCAAGATGATGCATATTTTAATACTCACAAAGTAAACAAAGTATCCACAAATAGTTTGAAAAAGCCAAAAAGCGGCTTTTCTTTAAAATGCCCTTAAAACTTTTTGCATAATGCTTTCTTAGAAAAAAAAAAAAAACCCAGCGCTCACAGAACATCCTTACTAAATGAAATCCTCGGGTGAAGACTCTTGTGAGCTGCAGTGTCTGAGGCTTTTCGGATGAGGCATCTGGGCTCAGGAGCAGGAGGCCTTAGAACATTCCCTTAGATGTATTCCTAGGCTGGATCTGGAGCTCTTGGTAGTTCCCAAAAGGACAAAGAAGGAAACAGCAGCAGAGACAAAGGTACAGAGCAGGAAAACACAAGACCCTGAAGAGGTAAGGATGCAGGGGCAAATGGGTTTAAAAGGACAAGAAGCAACCAAAACGAGACACGAGTGCTCCCTACTGTCCCGTGCCGACACCATCCGCTGCTAGTGTTTCTAAAAGCCAACAGTTGGCTGGGACCCTCTCCTACTCCCCAGGTCCACCCAGACTACAGCTCCAATCCTGTCTGCTCCTGTGCAGTTATCCCAGGCACGGAAATGTCAGCTCATCCTGTTTACGTGCTCACATGTGTGCTCACATATGTGCTTACACACTTGCAGGACCACTGACAGGGCTACAGTGATCTTAAAGACAGTAAAGATAGACATTGAGCGGGAGGTGAAGTACTAGTCAAGAGGTCAAGGTTTTTCCTGCTTAGCTGTTCACCAGTCAGGTCTGGGCTTTCCACGAATAGAAAAGGCAAACAGGCAATTTGAAATTATCAAAAGTTGAAGTAAAAAAAAAGAAGTCCTTGACAGCTTATTATGTACCTGCCTTAGCATGAACATGACTTAAGAACACCCAAACTGGGGGTTCGGGAGGGCTGGCAAGAGCCTTTGGCATAGCTGAATAACAGACCCTGTGTGAGATACCTAGGCAGGGGAGTTAAATGGTCAGAAATGTAATTAAGGTAATTAAGAAGGAAGACAGCACAAGATGGTTTCTCCCATTCTTTAAAACACAAATGGGCACCCTCCCCCTGCCCCCACAGAGCATCCAAGGAGTCTCTGTCTCTGCTGTGAGACATGCATTGAGAGCACAGAGCCCACTGAGAGCACAGAGCCCACTGTTGATGAGTGGCATAGAGATGTCACATTTTTTTGAGACAGAGTCTCACTCTGTCACCTAAGCTGGCCTCCAACTGACAGTGATCCTCCTGCCTCAGCTTCAGTGCTGGGATTACAGATGTGAGCCACTACACACAGCTTTTATTATTACTGTTTGGTGATGCCACTCAACCTCCATGCAAATGCTCCTCACTCTATCATAATTTCCCGTCCTCTCATCATATTGGTAATAGGGCTCTTTAGTAGATGAGCTCTGGAATCCACCATCTTGCCTCCCAAGCCTCCCTCACATTGGTACACACGGCCTAATGAGACAACACATAAATGTCCGGTACTCACAAGCTGCGACCCTTAGAGAAACTACCAAAAGACAGCATAGGTATATATAGCTTCTACACCATACTTTCAGGAGCTGGCCTCTAGCATCTTTCTAGCAGTGACATCACACCCAACCATGGCTTTAGTATGGCAACTGGACCCACAGCTCTGGAGAACTTGAAAGTGGCCCCAATTTCTCTTTTCTGTATCTTACTATCTGCTCTCTCCAAATTCTGTCTCTGATGATGATTTGTATGTCTGTCTTCATTCTCTTAGGGCTGTGCTGAATTAAGAACCAAAGACCCTGGCTCTTAACTACACAATCCTCAGCAATGTGGACACCAACAAAAGCAAGCAGGAAGCAAGTTTGTAGGTCTTTCAGTTTTGATGAGCTGTGGTGGGTTATTTCACTTCAGGCTAGATGTTTTCTGTAAGACTCGAAGAGGCTTATTTACAGCAGGTCCTCCAGTGTTAAAGACCATCACAACAGCAAAAAAGCAATGGTATCATAAATGTAGTTTGTGCCTTGGCTCAGCCACTCCCAAGCCTCAGCCCCACTAGGAGGCTACTTTGGGCAATGCACACACATTGCCTGGCTGTGCTTCAATTCTGGCAAACAATGTTCTGGGACTTTAGCATTCAGGGTGATCTAATGGGAGCCTGTAGGGGTTTCTGAAAAGGAAGTGCATAATTTGGCAGGAGCCACTGAAAACAATTAGAGTCACCATCAATATACTGTGTAGACGTCTATCAACAATGATCAGCTTATTTCTGGTGTCTCTGTTTTCCAGCTGCAACTCTACTCCTTGAAAAGAATAAACCAAAAAAAAAAAGACCCCCAAATATCAACAATAAAACATTAAAGAAGTGACATTATGTACATAAATACTGTGTATGAACTGTAAAGAAAAGACAAACCTTCCAGGAAAAGGGGGGGGGCAACAACTTATGTCAAGTGTTAACAAGGATAACATAGAAAATTGTGTTCAATAGGTTATATGTATGTAATGTAACAATTAAAATATAATTTGTGAGAGTAAGAGAGGGGCAGGATAGGGAATTAGCAAGAGAGAAGAAAATGAGTTGAAAAAGTATGGCCATTAAAGTCAGAAGGCCCACAGAATATTCAAGTAATGGAAGGGTTAAAACCCACATATGTATGCATTTTACAAGAACACACCGTCTTTGCTGTTTTTCAAGCCTGTTTCCAGGCCTTATGTTGGGAGGTTGTGGCAGCCTGTCACCTGGCAGAGGGGGCAGGCCTCTCCTGTGTGGATTCCACTAACCCAGAAGTCACTCAGTAGCTGCTTTTCTACTTTTGCCTTCAACCTTCTCTCTTAATGTGTTTCTTTACAGATGACCATAAGTTTTGCTTAGGGTTCCCTTAGATTTTCAGGTTGTTTTCTTGGGGGAAATTATTTGCTATCTAGAATTCTATCTATCTAGGCCAATTGCCAATCCCTTTTTCGTAATGATTGATGTATTTTGGGATACCAGCAGAAATGGAGTCTCAACTGCCTCTTAAGGCAGAACAAACCCTGCAACTTCATGAGCTCCAAAGAAGGGCTGGAGGGCGAGGCTGGGAGCAGCAATCTCCCTCTGCTCTCAGTGGACAGGCCGCCTCAGGCCTGGCTGAGCCATCTCCAATTCCTAACCTCAGTGCCACCTACCCTCTGTTTCTTTCCCTCAATCAAGCAGGCATGTGTTTTCTCAGAGGGAAAAATGAGAAAGGGTCAGGTGGCAGGAGACTGAAAAACAGCAATCTGCCTTTTGATAAAGGTGCTCTTTGAAAAAAATGTTTGAGGTTTGAATTTTTAAAAAATAAAAAAAATGGTAAAATGATCTTGCCATCCAAATCACACACACACACACACACACACACACACACACACACACACACACACAGAAAAACCAACCCAAACCCCACATGAGCCAGGAACAGTAAAATGACCAAAATATTATAAAATTAACCAATAAAGTGCATGTTCCTTACATATTACACCGCCCCCTTACAAACATTTCTCTTAGAAAGTCATGTGTGTAGGCTCAAGATCACATGGTGTTATAGAAGGGGTTGGTTGTCCGTTTTTTATCATTTGCTCTTTTCAGTCTCCTAAGCGGGTGAGTTCTGCCATGTTGCTGGCGGGGTGCCACAGCCAGCCCTGGAGCGGGGCCTGTACACTGCAGGCCCTGTGTCTGTAGCAAAGGAAGACCAACTTCAGAACTAGTCAATTCTGCTCTTGCCTTGGGGAGCAAACACTGCTGGCTGTACCCAAATTCTTTGGCATACTGCACAAGGGGCCTCTCTACTGGCTTGCTCTGCACAATACACTCTGTTGTTTTGAGTTGCTCTACAAAGTACTTGGTGGGCTGTGGGTTCTGGTGGGCATCTGGGCTTGCAGAGGGCTCCTGGGTCATCAAGGCATGCATGCCTGAGTCTGTTTTGATGAAGGGCTGAAGCAATTTAAGATGAGGGGATTCTGGGGAGACAAACTCTCTCTCTGCTAAGTAGTCTTTACAAAGGTCCAGGTAACCCAACTTGGCAAGAGAAGCCGAGCGCCTCATTTGTGATGTTTTGGTGATCCCTGACTGGAAGGTCACTCGGGACTCAATTTCTTTAGCGCGTTCCTTCACCACACCAGGGTTGTGGCTGAGATTTCTTATATTTTCACTACTAGAGCTATGTGGAATTCGACAGGCTTCAGGTGATAGGTCCAGTTTTTTCTGTAACACCCCACCGTTGTCACCAAGTTTGTTAATTAAACTCAGGTCTTCATTACTTAACTGAGAGAACTTGTGTGCCATTCCACTGCCAAGGAAGCCCTTCTGGCCATCTTCCCAGCTAACCTGCTCTGTTGATGGCTCACTGTCCGTGGTGCTGCTCTGCTCTGTGCAGCCTTCTAGGTGAACCACAGACTGGGGATGCAGGTAGTCCAAGTTGACAGATGCTATGTGGGTACTGCAACTGACCAAAGGTGCTGCTTTCTCAGAGGGTGTTGAAGGGCTGTTTCCCTGGTCTTCAGGGCTACTTAGCATGGGGGTTGGGTCAGTGAGCCTGTCATACTCAGAGGAAGAGTGAGGCAGAGGTAGCAGTTGGGGATGCAGAGGAACCTGGCTGGGGTCCAGAGTCCTGTTCAGATTTTCATCCAGCGCACAAAACACAGCGACAGACCTCTCCATCTTCACCTTCCTCAGTCCTTGTTTCTCACCTTCTTTGTTGGGTGCCGTTTCACCTCCTGGCTCAGTGTGATCAAGTGATGTAACTGTCTGTGTGTATTCAATGATTTCTATTCTCTTGGGAAGAGGAAGAGGGATGACCTGAGTCTCGCATCCCTGGTTTAAAATAACAGTCCTCTGCTTCTTCAAGTCTTCTTCCTGCTTCTTGGTTCCAGTATCCGACCCTAGGCAATCCTGAGGAGCTTGCAAGGGACGACTCTCCAGCAACTCGGGGACTGGAGCAGTGGTATGTTCATAGTGGGACAGGGGTCCAGCTTCAGACCCACACCCACAGGATTTCCCTTTCCCCTTGCTCATCTCTGAATGTTCTGGGCTGGTTTCCTCACTTCTCCATTTTGGCATTAGGTCTGCCACAGAAGAATCGTTCTTAGAGTTTTTGCGATTAGATAAAGTGGTACCTGTAGGGGCAGTGCCATGATGTTCCTGCTCCTGTCGCAAGCGCTCTTCAAACTCCAGGGTGGCTCGCTTCACAGACCCAGGATACCACTTGGCACCAGGGTGCATCCCTGGGCCCTGGTCATGTTCTCCCTCAACCGGTTCCTCTTCTTCCAAGTCTACTGTGGATGGGTGTGCAGTTAGAGAGCCTTCTGGGTTGCACTTCTCTGAGTCTTCAGTTAGTTCAGGCTGGACTGTGTAGAAACTCTCGTCTTGTTCCAAATGTCCAGGTTTGTTCTCAGGGGCCTGTGCCCTCTCCAGGGGCAGCTCATGGACAGTGTTCTTCTTTGGTGTATGGCATGGGTTAGAGAGGATGTCTCCTTTTAACTGAGCCTGCCCAACTCCTTGACTAATGGATTCAATTTCAGTGACAATTTCTTTGACTGAAATTGCATTTTCTGAGTGAGATTGCATGATGATGTCTGGGCTGACAAGTTCTGAGACTACCTAAGAAGAGAAAATAGTGACATGATTATGGCAAATTGTGGCTAGTATTTCACTTAGTAACCTTCTGATTGAAGAGAATCTGTCTATCTATGAGAACATAAGTTACAGATACCATGCACATAGGTTCTCTGTATTGTCAGATCATGGCAACAAAACAGGATTCATCATTAAGGCCGGAGGGAGAAAATTCATTATAAGGTACATATCACTGTTTACTAAATTTTGTTCTGTTTACTCAAGCAACATTTTAATCCAGGACTTTGTTTGAAAATGTGCAAACAGCTATGAAGGCTTTTTTTTTTTTTTTTTAAAGATTTATTTTGTATACAGTGTTTTGCCTGCATATATCCCTGCACACCAGAAGAGAGCACCAGATATCATTACAGATGGTTGTGAGTCACCATGTGGTTGCTGGGACTTGAACTCAGGACCTCTGGAAGAGCAGTCAATGCTCTTAACCTCCTAGCCATCTCTCCAGCCCCTATGAAGGCTTTTATAATCCATATTTCATAGTACTTACTGTGGGCCTCTAGGGCTTAGACCACAAAGAGGTAAATGAGAATTTCCTAACTGGCTTATTAACTTCTAATGTGACAGGAACTGATTCAGGTGGTGACCACAGTTCTTTCAAATGCTTGGTGGCCACTTTAATATGCCCAGTGTAAGACAGGCAGGAGGGCTATCATCTGATGTCTGATTTGAAGATTTACTGCTTGCTGCTTTTTCTCATTAGCTTTTACCACACCACCCACCTCACTGTTCCTCCTGCTGGGAGAATTTGCATTGTATCTGACCCCACAATCTCTACCTTTTTTCTTTCTTTTAAGTTTTTTTTTTTTTTTTTTGAGACAGGTTTCTTTGTGTAGCCCTGGCTGTCCTGGAACTCTCTCTGTAGACCAGGCTGGCCTCAAACTCACAGATCTGTCTGCTCTACCTCCCTAGTGCTGGGATTAAAGACACCAGTGTACCTCTTTTAAGATTTTTAAGTCTTGCTGGCCAGTGGTGGCATACACCTTTAATCCCAGCACTCTGGAGGCAGAGGCAGGCAGATCTCTGAGTTTGAGGCGAGCCTGCTCTACAGAGGGAGTTCCAGGACAGGCTCCAAAGCTACCTAGAGAAACAAAAAACAGAAGAGGGCACCAGGTCCCCTAGAAACAGAATTATGAACAGTTGTGAGCCACCACACAGGTGCTAGGAATTGAACCCAGGTCTTCTCCACTAAGTGCTCTAAACTGAGAAGCCATCTCTTTTTTGAGACAGAGTTCATTACTTAGCCTTGGACTCAGAGATCTGCCTGACTCTGTCTCTCTATTACTGAGATTAAAAGCAAGTACCTGGCAATAATCCCTAAAATTCATGTGGCTCCTTCTGGGAAGAGTATCCTTGGCTTGTCAGCCATGCTTGGACTCAGCCATGTCCCTCAGCAATCTTAGAACCCTTACTCTCAGATATTTTACTTCTTTACAAGGTAGCAATTCCCATAGATTTGGAACAAACACCCCTAAACCCAGAAAACAAAAACAAAAAACAAAACAGGTCCCATTGCAAAAAAAAAAAAAAAAAAAAAAAAAAAGCTTCAAAAACTAGAAATGGCTTTAAATTTAATTTAAACTTTAAATTCAGAGTATTATCATTGTCAGTTTTGTTAACATTTTATGTAAGACTTCAAAATACAGTATTTTCTCAGGAATTGTGCTGTTCTTTCTCCTTTAAAAGAGTCTCAGTTGGTATAAACTAACAAGGTCAGCCTTGTCTTTGTGGGAAATCTGCCAGGACATCAAGCAGAGGTGATCTTGGCAGAACTGGTGAGCCTGGGATGTGCACGGGCCATGGAAGGAGTACTCATATGACCAAGGACTCAGTAGGTAGGCTATTTCTGTCAGTGCTACTGCACTGAATGGTCCATAAAGAGAGCTTAAACATTTCCACTTCCCATAGAAACACAACAAAGGCAGAAGACAGAAGTAGAGACGAGTTGTTTTGGGAAGTTAAGAAGAAATAATGGATGAAGTAAGGTAGAAATCACGAGCTCCCAGGCATCTAACCAGGGCTGTTAGTACAAGCTCGGCTGGTAAAACACTCTCCTGGTATGCACAGGGCCCTGCGTTCAATCCCCAGGACTGCTAAATAAATCTGTCACAAAATATAATCAGGTCCATTAAGATTATTAGGGAAGGTTTTGTATGTTAGAGTAAATCTAAGACCTTGTCTCAAAGCAAACAGAAAATCAAAACAAAATGAAGCAACTTTTTTGATGGTCTAAGGTGTTTTCTCCTACTTCTGAGATGCTTCATAAGAATTCATATATTGCCAGGCATGGTGGTGCATGCTTCTAATCCCAGCACTTGAGAGGCAGAGGCAGGCATATCTCTGAGTTTGAGGCTAGCTTGGTCTACAGAGTGAGTTCCAGGACAGCCAAGGCTACACAGAGAAACCCTGACTTGAAAAACAAAACAAAACAGAACAAAAGCCACTTAAGAACCTTAGGATAATACCTGCTCCCAAATTCATCCTCCCTAACCACCTCCTGATTCTTGAGCACCACGGGTCTGGAAATAAATTCACGAACGTTATTAACAGCATCACTGATCTCAGCATGGGCACCTGCTGCTACTCCAGCAACTATTTGCATGTGTCTAGCTTGTAAACTTTCTGAGATAAAATGTTTCTCAAATAAATCCATCTTCTCAGAGACAGGTCTTACTCAGGCAGTTCTATGGCATTTCATCATTGCTGAAATTTGAACTGGGCTCCAGGGGTCCACAGAAAGGACCTCCCTTTGCTTAGTCAGGGCATTTGTTTTGGCTAATTCTCTCCTTTGTCATCCCCTTTCAGAAATGCTCCAACAAGGGGTAGAGAGATGGCTCAGCAGTTATGGGCACTTGTTGCTTTTGGAGGCCACCTGGGTTTGATTCTCAGGATCCCACAGTGGCAATCAACCATCTATAACTCCAATTCTAGGGGAGCTGAAGCCCTCTTCTGACTTCTGTGGGCATCAGGCATATATGCAGCACACACATATACATGCAGGCAAGATATTTATGAATAAAATAGAATAAATCTAAAATGACACCAAAGCCTGAAAAGATAAAATCGTTAAAAAAAAATCACCCTACGTTTTAAAGGAAGATCTCAGCCTGACTGTTCCATTATTTACTAGTGGATTTATTTATTTATTAACATCAAAATGATTTAAGGGGCTGAATGACTCAGTGGTTAAGAGCATGTACAGGGGATGACAGCTCAGTTCCCAGCACCTATGGTGGGTAGCTCACAACTCCCTGTACTCCAGCTCTGACCTCCTTGGACACCTCTACTCCTATGAATATGCCAACACACATACATATAATAAAAAAGAGCTAGGGCCATTGGTAAAGCACAGGGATACAGTGCCCCTAGTCCTCCCCCTGCCCAAAGAAGTTAACACAGCAGAATCTTCAGTAGTTTCCTTGGTGAGAATTTCATTACATGGAAACCATAAAAGCAGTTTTACCTTTGACTGGTCCTCATCCACTGAAGATTCCTCAGATGCATGGGGAGTATTACTTAAAGAGCTGCTTCTCTGGTCATCAGCTGCCATTTCTGAAGGCGCCACTTCCATCACTGATAGGCGACAACCCTCACTCCTTCCTCCGCCTAGCTCTTCTGTCCTTGAGTGGGAAAAAGATCGAGCCCGGGTTTCTTGAGAAAGCTCTACAAATTTCTCTAGGGCACTAAAAAAATCAATACGATCTGTACTAAAATCAGAGATGGCAGCTTGGCAACTGGGTTGGGGGCTTGGTGACTCAGGATCAGGTGACATGGGGAGGTCTTTCAGTCGAGATGTCAACTCTTCCATAGGCAGTAAGTGGACATTCATGTCTGCTTTCAGGGCATCTGTCTCCAAATCTTCCACTGCTAAGTCTGGGAACTTGTTGGCCATTTCTGAGGCCTGTCCAGGTTGGATTAAGGCTTTAGATGCATGGCAGTTGTCAAGAGGGAATTTTGATTCACTGAGACAACACCCTGATGAGCATCCATTGATGTCATTTAAGTTTAATTCATCTTCGATCTGTCCGGCATGAAACTCCTGTGACGAAAACCCCAGGCAGATGACTCTTTCTTTGGTATGAACCCCTTTCTGATTTGCGTCCTGTGGAACCACATGCTCCACAAAGACGGGAGATATGGCTGCAAGGTTCTCCACAGTCTTCACCTCGGCAATCTGGTCAGCTGAAGTGGTCATCTCCTTCTTGTTGAGCTCGAGCCCAGGTTTGCAGATGGGTTCGTGGTGGTCCGAGAGGTCACTATCTGAATGAGATCTCCAGAGTTTGTTATGCCGCTGTTTGCTGTGGATGACACATACAGGGAACACATTACTTTGGTTTGTGAAAACAGTCAACATCCTTCCAGGAAACCACATCTAGAGAAACCTCAATCACCTGCAAAATGATTTTTATGGTTTCCATGTAATGAAATAAACACTTCAAAATATGCACACCTTAATAGGAGCAAAAAATAAACAAAGCAAACAACAATAAATGGCTGAGATCTGATTTTGTTGTTGTTGTTCTTTTGAGACAGACTCTTATTCCATAGCACTGGCCAACCTGGAACTCACTATACAGGCCATAGAGATCCCCCTGCTTCTGCCTTTGTGTGTTGAGGTCTGATTTTTTTTTTTTAATTTTTTAATCAGATTGATGGGAGTCAAAATTTGTTAACAGCCATTGTTGATAAGTTCTTTCATGGTGTTGGTAGGAGTGTGAACTATAGACTTTGCATTATTTTTTAATTACATTTATTGTTTGTGACATGCTATGATATACAGGTGAAGGTCAGAGGACAACTTGGGATAGTTGGTTTCTCCTTCCACCACCTGGGTCCTGGGGATTGAATTCAGGCTATCAGGCTTAGCAGCAAGCACTTTACCTCATGGGCCATCTCACCAGCCCTGCAGGCTTTGTTTTATGAGTCAAGTGTGACACTAGCTCTCCAGATATAACCCTTAAATAATCAGTTTTTCCTGTTAGACATTTTCTTGGAGAAGTACTTTAAGGGTGTGTGTTTATACATATGGATATTTACTATAGCACTGTCTGTGGTATTAAAAACGAAACACCAAAAAGAAGAGTAGATTTATTTAAACTTAAGGCCAGGGCTGGAGAAATGGTTCATTTGGTAAAGTGATTGCCATACAACTAAATTGGCAAGCTCCAGATTCAGGAAGAGACCATGTCTCAGCAGAGTGAAGAGGTGACTGAAGAAGACAGCCTACATCGACTTTTGGCCTCTGTATGCACACGTGAACACATACAAATAAACACATGCAAAAATAAAATAAAAATACAAAAGTAAATTATAGGCTATATAATTATATGCTATAAGGTATAAGGTTGTTAAAACTATCAGACATTGGGGACTGGAGAGATGACTTAGTGGTTAAGAGGGCTTTCCATTCTGCCAGGGGACCCAAGTTCTGTTCCCAGCACCCACATCAGGGGTTCACAAATGTCTATAATCTAGCACCAGGGGAATCAGAAGCATCTGACCTCTTTGGGCATCTGTACACATCATACACGCTCACCCAGACACACATGCATACACATAATTAAAAACAACAAAAATGGGTCTGGAGAGATAGCTCAGTAGTTAAAAATACTGGATTCTCTTCCAGAGGATCTGAGTTTGATTGTCAGCACCTAACATGGTGACTCATAACTGTCTGTTAAGAGGATCTGATCAGTTCCCTTCTGGCATCCACAAGCACCAGGCATGTATATGGTACACAGACATACACATAGGTAAAACACCCATACACATAAAATAATAAAAATAAAAGAATTTATTTTTGCTACTTTTAATTATGGGTGTGTGTGTGTGTGTGTGGGTATGTGTGTGTGGTTCCCCTAGAACTGGAGTTACAGGTTGCTGTGAGCTACCTAATATAGGTGCTGGGAATAAAACTCAGGTCCTCTGGAAGAGCAGTAAGTGCTCTTAATCACTGAGCCAGCTTTCCAGCCCTCCAAATAAAATGTTGAAAAAAAAACCATTTTTTTTTGTTGGGCATTTTAGGGACTGATATCCAAGGTATACTGTTAGTGAAAAAGTAAGTGTAATATTTAGGATGGTCAGTTTACATGTTAGACTAAGAATGGGGAAAAATCCGGAGGAACATCATTTGGTAGGCGATTCCTTCAAGGAAGGTAGAAATCATTCTAGGGAAAGTTATTACTTTCGGCTTCATTATTGTCTACATTGTGAATTAAAAATAAGCATGTTGGGCTTGGCTGTAAGAGCTCTTACAGAGGACTGGGGTTCAGAGTTCTTAGCCTACAACCCACAACCATCTGTAAGTCCAGTTCCAGGGGATCTGATGTCTTCTCCTGGCTTCCAAAGTCACATGGGCACCAGACATACATGCAGGCAAAACATCATACACAGAAAATAAGACAAATACATCTCCTCCATTCAAGGCTCAGGGATCTATGTGGAAAAGGGGGCAGAAAGATTCTAAGAGCCAGATGTGGGAGATGACTTCAAGGAAACATAGTCCAGGCACAACAGGGTTGCACTAACACGTATGCACTAACAGAGACTATGACAGTACACACAGACCTGCAGAAGTTCAAACCAGATAAACCCTCGGCACAGAGAAAGGGATGTGGAGTCCTAACCCGAACCAAGAAGCTATCTGTTACTTTGTCTTCCAATTACCCCCCTTTGGAGCTCGAACCCAGGGCCTTGTGCTTGCTAGGGAAGTGCTCTACCACTGAGCTAAATCCCCAACACCCTCCCCCAAACTATTTGTAATTTATATTTGCTGGGAAAGAGAAAATCAGTTTTCTCCACTAGGGTGTCATTGGATATAGCCACTGAACTCTAGGACAGGTCCAAATACAAAATGGATGCCACGGTTTTTGGGGGTGCTTTTTGTTTTGTTATTTATCTTACTGGCTTTTGTTTGTTTTGACCTATGCTTTTTTTTTTTTTTGAGAGGAAAGAAAGGCTGGTGCAAGCTGGTGATCATGACATTCTTTTTTTTTTTTTTAAAGATTTATTTATTATGTATACAACATTCTGCTTCCATGTATATCTGCACACCAGAGGTGATCTTTCTTTCCTTTTATCTTCTCTCTCTCTCTCTCCTTTTTTTTTTGGGGGGGTGTGTGTGTTTGAGACAGGGTCTTTCTATGTGGCCCTGGCTGTCTTGGAACTCACTATGTAGTCCAGGCTGGTTTTAAACTCACAGAGATTTACCTGCCTCTGTCTCCTGAGGGCTAGGATTAAAGGCTTGTGCCACTATACCTGGCTAAGGTGATCATTCTTAAGTTAGAAAATTAAGGTAGCCTAATAAATCAGGAGAGAAGATCAAGGTCAGCCCTTTCCCCAAAGTCTTAGAAGCTGAGGCAACCCTTGGAGAAATATGTGGGCCAAAGAGGGTTCTTCACCACCTCAAAGACCACTATATAGTCACTCTGTGGTTATGTTATGAAGTCTGAGATGATGATGAAATTCATTTCAAACCTCATGCTTTCAAACTACAAGCACAGTTCCCAAAGACCAGCCAAAATTTCTCAGCTGCCTGTATGGCTGGTCAGGATCACCTGCCCAGGGATTAGCCCTTTAAATATGGTGCTTGACAGCCCCCATGATTTATAAGCAGACAAAGAGTTACCTAACTTCTGGGTGGAAGGGAAACTCAGCCTCAGACAACTTGCCCTGGGCGTGTGGCCACACACAGGCTCTGCTGAGTCATATGCCTATACTGATGTGACCCTGTTTCTTCTCAACTCTGCACCTGCTCTCAGCTCCCGTACAATCTGCTGTTGGGGTGGGGCGCTCTGACTCAGGCCCTCACAGTAGAGGGGTGCTTTCCCTTGCAGGGAACAGCTCAAGTCTGTTATATATGACAACAAGTTATAATCGTCAGTTTTCTGGGTGTGAAGTGGAGTTTTTACCTTTTTCAGCTGCATGACCTCCAGCCACCCCTAGGAGGAGACAACATATCACACATCTCAAATAAGTGAGCGGCTGTCTGGAGGGTAAGTGTGGACTAAACTATCTTATTGCCAATCAAGGCCAGTTTACTTCTTATGGAAGCTTCTCTTAGATCTGGATGTCTTTGTTTCCAGGCCTAGATACAACTGTGTTGTCTAATTTCCATACTGCCCCTATCTGGGGGTTGTTCAAACCTGTGCTCTTACATACCACAGTAGGATAGATAGTTCCTGTGATGCATGTAACAGAGGAGACAGCTCAGAGGGCAGCTGCTCTTAGACATCTAATAACATAACACAGCAGCTGATTTTATTAGCCAACAAACAAATGACAAGTTTCCATGACCTCCAGAATCCCCCAAATTATAACTTTTAAAAAATGCTTGCAAATTACTTATCAATCAGGACTGGAGAGATGGCTCAGTGGTAAAGAACACTGTTGCTAGCTGCACACCTTTAATCCCAGCACTCGGGAGGCAGAGGCCAGCGGATGTCTGTGACTTCGAGGCCAGCCTGGTCTACAAGAGCTAGTTCCAGGACAGCTTCCAAAGCTACACAGAGAAACCCTGTCTGGACAAAAACAAACAAACAAACAAACAAACAAACAAAAAACAAAAAGCAAAAGAACAAAAAGCAAAGAAACCCCCCCAAAACCAAAACAAACAAAAACACTGTTGCTCTCAGAGGACCCAGGTTCGATTTTCTGCACCCACACGGTGATCCACAACCATCCATACTCCAGTTCCAGGGATTCAGATGTCCTCTTCTGACCTCCATGGGTACCAAGCATGTATGTGGTACATATACATACATGTAGGCAAAACATTCATGCATAAAATGAATAAATCTAACACATTAAAAGTTATCAGTCAGGAGGGAATATGAGATGGAGGTTATGCTAATGAGGGTAACAGCGAATGTTTCAGAGGAAGTGGCTAACATCACAGCCTGAAGCCCAGCAGGGACTTCCTTCTGTTCCTGGAAGAGACGAGCATCAGAAAACACTCCATTGGGGCTTGGGAATACAGCTGATACCCACTTATAAAAGAGAAAGAAAGAAAAAAAACCCTAATCCAAAGATTGGTCTGAAGTGGAGTGAGGGCAGCTCTCTAACACAGTCTAGTTATACCATCACTGTGAAAGCACCGTGACTCCACGTGCCTCCTGGTGACCGCACTCTCCACCCCTCCATGGGGGAATCTCCCTCTTGAATTCCACGATTATCATTCCCTTTCTTTTCTTTACAATGTTATGGCACATGTTTTCTTTTCTAATGAGTCTTACTACATAGCCTGGCTGTCATACTATGAAGACCAAGATGGCCTTGAACTCACAGAGATCTGCTTGCC